GTTCAAACCCACCAGCCACTCCTCGGAAGGAAGGTTGGGCAGTCCTACTTCCGTAGTGATACTGCCTCGGAAACCCAAGGAGGGGTCGCTATGAGTCGGGGCCGACTCGACGGCACACAACAACAACAGCAACATACTAGATAGTAAGGAGCTCTGGTGATGTAGTGCCTAAGGCATTTGACTGCTAACCAGAAGGCTGGCAATTCAAATCCACTAAGCCACTCCACGGAAGGAAGACTGGGCAATCTACTTCCATAAAGATTTATTGCCTTGGAAACCCACTGGGGGTCGCTGTGCATCAGAAGTGACTCAATGGCGATGAGTTTTTTTCTATTCTAGATAGTTGAGTATGAATCTAGGGAATTCATTTACATTAAACATGACATTTATTGATGATACAGTACAGTTTTGTCTACACGTGAAAGATTAGCTCTTGCATCAGCTATAACTCCACAACATAAGGGGAAAGAAAGCAAAAATATTTAGTAAGAATCCTAGTGAAAGTTAAGCATATTTTTTTTATTTTAGGTAGAGTGATTTTGGGGCGATTTACAAAATTCATGATGAAATTATTCAGTGAAGGCATGCACAGGTGAGCAGTATTGGAAGTACTGAGTTCTGTCAGCAGTGACTGCTTCTTGGATTAAAATGAGCAGCTTTGTGCTTTATGGAAACAAAGACTAAATTTTACATTTAAATGGCTAGTGGTTAAAGCACTGGGCTGCTAACCAAAAGCTCAGCTGGTTTGAACCCACCAGCTCCTCTGTGGGGGAAGGATGTGACAGTCCCTTCCTTAAAAATTAACAGCCTTGGAAACTCTGTGAGGCAGTTCTACTCTGCCCTATAGGGTTTCTAAGAGTAGAATTTGACTCAACATAAGTGGATTTGGTTTTGGTTTTGGTTTTGGTTTTGGTTTAGTATGTTTTCTAATCTAGAAGCACCTTTGAAGACTAGCTGTGTTACGAGTGGTGTGTTAATTCAGAGTCTTTCAGGCAGGACTAGGCATTAGCCATTGGTTTTATTGTAACAGTAAGGCAATCTTATGTTTGGGATTATTTTACAAGTAGTCTGGATTCCCTTTTACAGTGTGTTTAGAAATATTCTATGTGTTAGAGGAGACACCAAGAATTATAAACACGGTCTTATGTTCTGATTACTGGGAAGTGGTCTAATCAGGGGCCACAACACATGGGGACATAAATGAATTGATGACCTATAGACACCTTCTCTGGTAGCATAGTGGCTAAGGCACTTGACTGCTAACCAGAAGGCTGGCGGTTCAAACCCACCAGCTACTCCTCGGAAGGAAGGTTGGGCAATCCTACTTCCATAGTGATACTGCCTCGGAAACCCAAGGAGGGGTCGCTATGAGTCAGGGATGACTCCACGGCACATAACAACAACAACAACAACAGACACCTTCTCAGAGCATTTCAAGCGAGAAGGTAGAGTGCCTGCCTAATTGAGCTGTGGTCTAGTTATTTAAACTCTGAAGTGTTCATGGTAATATATTTACCTTACATCAGATTGACTTACTGTTAAGCGTTGTGAGTATGCTCTTAAAAAGGACTTTAGAATGGGGTTTCCAAATTTGTTTTAGTCATTTGAACCCCTTTGTTCAGACGAAAACTTTAGTTATATAAAAATGCAAAAAAGGAACTGTTCTTCTTAAAGTAGGGATTTGTGAGCCAGTCTGCCTTCTGTCTTCTTCCCACCTTTGTTCTTCTGCTTCAGCAGTCTCAGATAGGACAAAAGCACAATTATGAGAAATAAACTTTATGAAGAATTGCCTACATTGTGAGCATGAATGATTTGATGTGTAAGACTTTATTTTTAACTCTTTGACTTCTTATAGACTGGTTGTTAACTGAAGTTTGCCATCAACTAAAGTTTATATTGAAAGGTAGTACAAAGAAATAACCCAGAAATGTGTATTTTACTGTAGAGAGATATTATATTGTGAACCACATTATACCGTGTTCTGTGAACTGTGGTGAAATGCTTGTAATCCAGGATCAGGATTAATTGTACTTCTGAACAATTGATTTTGCTTTTGTTTTGAATATTGTGCCTCTTAAAACTAGTCATAGTTTCTTCTTTGTAATAGCTGGGAGGAAGAAGAGAGTC